GAACCCTTGACAAGAGAAACTACCTCCCCTCCCCCATCTGCCGTTGTCAGGACTCTATTACAGGATACAAGTACTACATTACAACCTGCGGCTCGCACATCATCCTTCGGTCCAAACAATATTCCTTTTTTTTTTCTCCCCCTACAACGTCTTGTGTGTACTACTATCCACAGCCCGTCATCAACATCATCCTCAACATCATCATCATCGACATCGTCTTCTATCGGTAATCAACAGGAACAGAGAGGTGCTATTCTTTACATACTGTATCTATATTACGGAAGAAAGAAGAAACGGATATTATCCTCTCTCTCTGTATCGGCGCAGGGCGGCATAGACCCTTGGCATCGTCGGCAGTGTAAACAAACAAGCACGCCTTCTGCTGTCGTCTAGAGAGAAACGGTGATATCTGTCCCGTTGACTGACGACGACGACGACGACGACGACGACGACACCCCCTCCCCTCCTGGCATCATCACGGGGAAAGCTTTCTTTCTTCTCAGTTTTTTTCCTCGCAGAGATATGCTCTCATGACGGCCGCGACTGCTACTTACTCGGCTACCATGCCAGACTTGAGGGGAGACCCGGCTCCTTCGAGTCTCTGGTCCAACTATGCCGGCCCAATACACATGTCTCCCCGCATGAGCAGCAGCGGCATCGGCCCCATGGAACCTGGGCGGAGCCACGGTCCCGCATCGTCATCATCGTCATCGTCACTCCATGCCGCAGCCGTCGCCGCCGCCGCTCGTCCTCGAAGCGAGCAGGACTTTATGAGCCAGCAGCAGCAGCAGCACCACCATCATCATCAACCTCCTCCTCCTCCTCCACCCCAGCAGCCCTATCCATACGCCAGATACCCCCTCCCGGAGCCCGAACCATCGCAGAGTATCGGTGGCGGCGGCGGCGGCGGCGGCGGCTACCCGACGAGCGGCCACCTGAAGAGGAGCTTCTCACACACCCAGTCGCCTCCCGCCCACCAGGATATGACCGGTGGCGGCGGTGCTTCTCTCCGCGGGGCCGCCGACGACCACGGCCAGGGGACGACGGCCACGGGCGCGGGAGGAGGACACGACCAGAAACTGCTGGCCTTCCGCCGTGTAGAGGACAAGGCGACCATTGCCGACCAGCACGGGCACCCCCAGCAGCTCGAGGTGTCGGCCCAGCTGCACGGCATGTTCTTCCTGTCCGAGATGCCGTCGAGCGCCAGCGACGGCACCGCCCTCCAGCCCGAGCTGACGTGCTACCGACGCAACCTCTTCCAGATCGGCGGCTCGCTCATGGCCCCGCGGGGCCCCCTGTCCGCCATCACCGAGTCCGGGCAGACCGTCCCCGTCGGCAGCATGGAGGTGACCATCTCGGCCATCGAGTCCGTCGACGGGAACCCCGTGCGCCTCGTCGTCATCCCCTGGAAGACGCCCCCGCCCAACTCGCCAGAGGTCAGCCAGGCCCCCGATCAGGAACCGCCTTCCCTGCCGCTCGTCCCCATGCAGGAGGGGGGCGGGCACGAGGCGGACGGGGTGTGCGCTTACTACGCCATAGGATGGCGACGGCTCCAGTTCAGAATGTACGTTGTTGACCTGCTCGTTCCCCCCCTGCCTCCACCTCTCCCCGCCACGAATGACGAACATCTTCCGGACTGACGAGGAGGAAAACACAGCGCGACGGCCAACAACGGTCGACGGAAGGAGCTGCAGCAGCACTTCGTCCTGCACCTCAAGGTTCACGGCCTGCTGGCTGACAATTCCAAGGTCCTCCTCACAGAGTACATCACCGCACCGATCGTCGTGAGGGGTCGCAGCCCGAGGAATTTCCAGTCCCGCAAGGAGATTCCCCTTCTCGGATCGAGCGCCGGGTCTAGGGGCCAGTCGCTCGTCGAGACGGGCATGGGCGTCATCGCGGCCGGACATGGCCATATGGCTATGAGGCCGACCGAGGTGGTGAAGCCGCCCGGTCTTCCTGCTCCTTCGGGACCTGCTAGGGATGGGGGGATCGATATGCGCGTACCGAGATCTTCCTTTACATTTGAGCCACCAAAGGGAGCCCAGCGACCAGGGTATGATTCCTCTCTCTCTCTCCTTCCTCCCATTCGCGCCACGCAAGACCTCGACGCCGAGCTAACTTGACAAGATCTCTCAGCTCCAGCTCATACTCTTGGAGTCCGACAAGCCACGGCCCACTACCCCAAGTGTCGACGTCGGAACCGTACCCCACCACATCCCTGGCGCCCGCGGACATGTACCCCAAGGTGGCCGGGGCCGGCTACACGACCGAATCGCACGACATGCCCCTCCAGGCACCCTCGCTAGCCACCCCCCTCCCCCTGATATCGGAGGAGCACCAGCATCAGCAGCCGGCTCCGCCGCCGTCCATGCGCCACCCGTCGTTCTCGTACGTGCCGTCGGTCAGCACGCCGAGGCAGATGCCGGCGGGCACGGCCGCCTCGTCGGCAGACGGCGCCGTCGACGCCCGGTACGTGACGGGAGGAGACGACAGGCCGCTCAAGCGGAACACCGGACCGGGCGGGATAGCGGGCGACGCGACCGGGTACCGCTACGGCCCCTACGCGTCGTTGAACGCCGCGGCCCTGCCGCAGCCGTACGGCCAGGACCCGATCCAGAGGGACGTATACGCCACCGCGGCCGGCACCAGGACGACCATGAGCGGCGCACACAGCCCCGCGGCGGCGGCGGCGGCGGCGGCGGCGGCGACGACGGCGACGGGCATGGCCGTCTACGGGACGGACGGTAGGGCGTCGTACGCCGCCACGCCGTACGACGACTACAGGACCCGGAGGCCGGACGAGGTGCGCTCGAGGATGGAGGAGCAGGGGCAGGGCCACAGTCCTGCGAATGCCGGGTACGATGGGCAGCACCGGGGATCTTTTGACGCCATGAGCCATTATTCCTGGAACAACCCGTAGATGTCTGTCGTCGGTCTGGTGATGGGGGGATGAGCTTGCTCGGCTGTGGGGGGGGGGGCCTTGGGGAATGTCGGACGTCGGTCGGTCTCGACGACTCGACGCTACACGGACATTCAACGCATCGTTTTTACGACTGGAGCGGGAAAAGGGTGGCCTTTTTTTTTCTCCTCTCTGTTTTTTTGTAATTCCACTAGAGGGTAAATGTGCCCTTCAGAGTCGTTTTTTTTTTTTCGTTTTTGAAAAGGGGGGGGGGGGGGGGGAGGGCGAATTTGTTCTTCTCTAGGTTTTGTCTTTTTATTTTTTCCACGGACTTTTTTATTCTTTCTCTCTTCCTTCCTTTTTTCCCCTCGTTTTTCTCCCTCTCTCTTCCCTTCTTACGGTTGTTTTATATGTCTTTCGGTGGTCTATGTCTTATCTGGTTTTATTTTATAATGGGTTTATTTGCAGGGTTTCTTTGGGGGGGGTTTGGGTTTCGAGGGTTTATATCTGGTGTACTTGCTGGTCTATCTTGTGTTTTCTCTCTACCCTTATACGACTATACTATTGTCCTTGCTATCTTGGCCGTCCTTTTAACCGTTGCTTTGCTTGTCTCTGCTTGTCTGCTTGTCTGTCTGTGCGTACTTGCGTTTGCTGGGTCGTCTCTGCTCGTCTATCTTGTCTCGACTTGTCTATGCTTGTCGGTTCTCTGTCTCTCTCTCTCATCTTGTCATCTATTTTGACTTTTTTTTTTCTCTCTGTCTCTGTTCTCCGGGTGACGGCACTGGCTGATTGCCCTTTTCTTTTTTCTCTTCTATTTTCTATATGAAATGTTGAATTGGATGGGAGGTGATGGAGATGGACGGTAGGTTTGGTTGGATGGATGGAGCAGGAGTAATACTTGATGTAAAAATGAATATATCCTTTCTAGATATTTCATATCTACGTCCTTGATATCATCTTGAGGATTGGGATGTAAAGTATGCAGTGTAAAGATGTCAATATCTATCTATATATCTATATATCTATATATATCTATATATATATAAGATAAGAGAAAGGAAGAAAGAAACATGAGACGACCTGTTTGGGGGGGGGGGGGGGGGGGGGGGGGGGGGGGGGGGGGGGGGGGGGGGGGGGGGGGGGTTACTACGAGTAGGATTATTCTAGGATCTGAACCTGGACTAGGAGTTCTGAGAGTTCTGGAGACGGGGGGTTGAGAAAGTACATGTAATATACAGCAGTAATCGTCTTACTAGTATTCAGTATATAATATAGTACACATATACAGAGTCATATTTGGAATCAAGGCTGAGAGTGAAAAAAAAAAGGACTATTTTTAGATGTTTCTCATTTTCATCTTTTTTTCCTTTCAGATCAGTTAACATGTCAGTAACATATCGTACTCGAGACGAGCGTATCGACTTGCGAATACAGGCAGTATAGGTAATACCGTCATCAGTAGGACCGTGGAGAGTATAGACAATATAAATAGAGTAGAGAGTAATCTGTACAGCGAGTAGAGCAGAGTATAATGTAGTAGGGTATGGTGATAGTAGTATCATATACATCAAAGTATTGTATATTAATATATAGTACAGTACAGTACAGTAAATAGAGTACCGGTGCAAGATAAATTAGGTAATACAGATACAGAGAGAGTAAGGAGAGAAAAGAGAAGAGGGAAGAGAGAAGAGAAAAAAAAAAGACGCTGTAGATTTCCCCCCCAAGTATACGATAAGATAAGACCACATCAATCTTATCAGCTTATCAAAGCTGCAGCCTCACTTGCCTCCCCCCAAACTTCTCACCGGTAATATGATGATGTATCAAACTCATACAAGCTGCTCTCACAATTAATTCTCACACGGGTACTGCCATTTACACACACAGACACACACGGGCACACAGATAAAACAAATGTTTCACATTCCAGATGCAAAAAGGTTGGCACTGACTCATACAAACTCGAGCATCGAGAGAAGCTGACATGTCACCAGAATCCGTCGTGAGGACCTAGTCTCTCCGGACAACTCTGACAGCGATGGAGATGATGACCAGATCCGAGCGCAGCTCCACGCTCAGCTAGAGAGGACCCTAGGGCTGGACCTCGGTGCGCACCCTCTGACGCCGGACAGCCCTCCAAAACCAGCACGTCAGGCTGAGCAAGAGCAAGGGCAAGGGCGAGGACCGAATGACGACGACGGAGACGACAGAGGAGAACGAGATGCCGACCAGGCGGGGTACGACTTCTGCCTCTTCGCCGGCGAAGAAGCATCCGCCAACAAGGTCATACTCGAAGACGACGGCGGGCCGAAAGGTGAGGGGGCAATCATCGCACCCCGGCCGTCGTCGTACTACGTCGGTGCCAAGCTCACGGCCGAGGAGAAGGCGGCGGCGGCGGTGACGGGGGACGACATCCTGGCGCGGTCCGGCTGGAGGGCGTGGAGCATGGAGATGCCGTGGAAGGTGACGCACGTCACCGTCACCAGGAAGGGGGGAGCCGTCGTCGGGGAACATGAGGCAGAGACGGATGGGACGACGACGGGGACGAGGAGGACAAGGGTGGGGAAGAAGAGGAGGATCGCCCTGCGACTCAGGGAGAGGGCGGAGAGGTCCAGACTCGAAGAGGCGGCGAGGAAGGAGGAGGAGGCGCGTAAGAGATTGGGAGAGAAGGAGGATCACCTCAGGGAGAAGAAGAAGAGGCTGAATAGGGTCAAGAAGTTGAGGAAGAGACAGAAGGAGAGGGAGAGGAAGATTGCTGCCGGGGAGGCAGTGCCTGATGAGGCCGATGAAGCAGAAGTTTCTGATTCTGAATGAAATTTTTTTTTCCAACTTTTTTTTTTCTTCCATGTGACATCTTTAGCATAGCAGCACTGTGTTATACCTCTTGATTGAAATTTTTTTTTTTGGCGTTGATGCAACCTTTATCCTCCTCCTTCTTCTTTTCCTTCTTTTTTTTTCTTCTCTTCTTTCTCTTCTCAAGGACATCCATCCTGGTTTGATGTGACCTCCTCTACCTGGAGTCTGGAGAGGCTGGTGGTGGGGTGACAGTATTATTACCCGACTTAGCCTCTCTGACTTGTCCCCCCCCCGCAACGAGCTTCAGACCAAGCAAAGCTAAGGATCGACCTTTTCTCTTCTCCCACCCTCTCCCCCCTCCACAACAAGACAGAAAAAAAGAAAGAGAAAGAGAAGGAGAGAGAAGAAGAAGAAAACGCAAACGACAGCACATGAAGATAATTACAACGCAGAGTAACGGCGACAGAAGAGTTATGGAATAAATATCTCTTCCCTCATCCACCCCACCACACATTCGCTACGCGAGCCGACTGGGCCACAGCCGCGATGCGCCTCGGAGAGCCCACCGCGACCCGATAGAAGACACGCGTGCAATAAACATACACACGATACCCAGCCATTCACCACCTACCTCCCACAGACACCAGGAGACGCGAGATATCGGAGACAGAAATAGGCCACGATGATGTGGGAGGCAGAAACACCCACCCACCAGCCACCCACGGCCGACATGGCCGACACGGGCCCGGTAGCCTCCGACATTGGCACAGCAGCGACGGTCGACCAGCCGCCCGTCCCGGACCCTCCTTCCTCCTCGTCTGCGTTCCCGCCTCCACCGTCGTCGTCGTCGTCGTCGTCGTCGTCCTCCTCCATCTCGGCCCCGACTTCGGAGCGGGCAGTGCAGCAGGATGACGGGTCCCCGACGTCCCTCCCGGCCTCCACCGCCGTCGAGGCCGCCCCGACGGACTCCCTCACGCTGCTGCAGCTGCGCCGCATGATGACCGAGCTCCACGGCACCGAGCCGCTGGCCTACGACTTCATGTATACCGACACGGCGCCCCACGCCGAGGAGATTGACGAGTGGTTCACCTACCAGTTCTGGCAGTGGGTGCGCCTCAACTCGGCCCAGCGGGCGTTTGAGCGGGACTGGGAGGACGAGTCCGGCGCTGATTCCGCCGCCGCCGCCGCCGCCGGGGAGCCTGCCGCGACGAGAACGAGAACGAGAACCTGGGAGGCGGCCGGCGATGAGGTGCGCGCGCGCTTCGTCAGGACCGCCGTGTCGGGCGTCCGGTCCGACGACGCGGCGACGAGGTCGACGTCCATCGGGAAGCTGCTCTACCTCGTCCTCGGACGCTGGGGCGACACCGCCATGCCGAACACCCCCGTCGACGACTGCCGCTCCGTCGCCAGCGTGCCGCAGCTCGAGGCCATCAGGGACGGCGTCAGGTGGCTGGCTGACATGGACGGCTTGCCTGTCGTGTGGGAAGCCCTGAGGAACAACTTCGAGATGCAATGGTCAGTTTCCGGAGTCCTCGGTGCGTTTCGTGCCGGAGAGCGAAGGAGAGAAGTATGAGGGGAGGGGACAGGAGAGACGGAGACGGAGAGAGACGGAGAGAGACGGAGAGAAAGCTGACTGGTCACTAGGGCTGGTGTCGATGCGCAGGATGCGACCCCCCAAGAGACGAATGCTGAGCTCATGAATCTCATGACCATCATGTACATGTCCGTCCAGCAGGCCTATACCGCCGCCGGCGAGGTCTCCTCCAGGCCCCAGTATGTGGCAGATGTCAACGAGAAGCTCCGTACGTACCTCCTACGTCCCCGGTCGGTGGATTGTGGATTGTGAATTGTGGATTGTCGACACTGACAACGGACAGTGGACCTGAACCCGTCGCTCGTCGACTTCATGATGACGGCGACGGCCAAGCTGCGCTGGGACGAGCAGGGCGCCATGCCCCAGACTCAGGTGCGTGGCATGATCAACGGTCGCGACGGACGGACCGGGGGAGGGAGGAATGGCGGTTCACTGACGAAAGGAAAGCGATAGATCTTCCTGCTCTTCTGGAAATCGATACTGCTCGTCTTCGGAACGCTAGAGGACCAGAGGACCATCAAGATGCTGACGGGCGAGAGGGACTTCCTCGACGACCCCAACACGGGCAAGATCACCGCCTCGCCCATCGACTACCACGTCTTCCGCCAGGAAATCACGTCCAAGTATCCGGCCTACGTACCTCCTCGGCCGGCCATCCCCCTCGAGGACGAGAACACGTCCATACTGCCACCCCTGCCCAACCAGACGACCACCAGGAGCAGCATCTCCAGCGGCGTGCTCCCCGGCCCGCCCAACGCCCAGGCCGGCGGCGCCTCCATCCTGAACCAGCCCGTGCACATCGCCACGCCGGCGCCCTCCCCACCCCCGTCCCCCGGCGTGGGCGGCAAGGGAGGCAAGAAGCAGAACTACCAGACCAACCAGAACTTCCCCTTCATGTACCCCCCCCTCGACGCTACCAGCAACAGCGCCGGGGGCAAGGGCATGGCGGGCATCCACGAGGCCCTCATCGGTCGCAGGTGGGAGGGCAGCGACATCCCCGCCTCCATCCTCGAGGCCGGCGAGCTGTTCTCCAGCCGCGTCAAGATGAGCCGTGCCACGCGCCAGCTCTGGGAGGAGCGCGAGAAGTTTCTCCGCTACGAGCGCGGTTGGGACGGCAACGACGACGGTGGAGAAGGGGGCCGGAACGGCAACGGTGCCGGGAACGGCGGCAGCGACGACGGAGATGACGACATTGACAGCCTCGACCTCGACGAGCTCACCCTCGAGGAGAAGGAGGCCCTCAGGGAGTTCAAGGCAGAGTTCAAGGGGGCCAAGACCGAGCCGCGCCCGCCACCCCCGGCAGACGCCGGTCCAGACTTCGGTCCCAGACCCGAACGCCTCTCGGACCACCAGAAGCGGAGACTGGTTGCCGTCGAGGACTTCTATGTACGTGCTCCAACTCTTCTCCCTCACCGAACCCCCTTCTCCCTACTGACACGCCAAAAAGCGCCAAGCTCTGCCCCATCTCCAATCTCTCGTCATCGTCCTCCTCCGGCCGATCCTGGCCAACGTCACCTCCATCGTCGCACAGCAGTCCGCGGCGGCCCAGGCGGCCCAGCAGGGTGGGCAGGGACAAGGTGTTGGTGGAAGCGGCGGACCTTTGTCGGGGAGGGGCGTGATGGGAGGAGGGGGAATACCTATGAGACAGTCGGCGGCGCAGGATAGCCAGGGACAGAGCCCGCAGTCCGAGTCGCAGGAGCCGTCTATCGAGGAGATTGATGCGGCTAGGACGAGAGAGATTACCAGCAAGGCTATGACAGGGATTCTGTTGCTCCTGCTGAAATGGTTGAAGGTTTCTCGTATGTTTTCCCCCCTCCTTCTCC